TATATATCAGTGCATGTTTACAGAACATGTGGGTGTGCATGTGTGTGTGGTATGGTCTTCAGGGCTTTTGAAACGCAGAGTAATGGATTGCTTCTCTTGCCGCTACAAGATGTACATCTGTCCCTCTCCCTCTGGTCAGCAGGACTGCAGTGGTATGTTTTTATTTGTTTGTATGTGTGTGTGTGTGCATGTTGTTGGCGAGTGGTTGCGGGCTCGTCGTACGTATGTACTAGGAGCACAGAGTACATCGACACAAGCTGTCACGAGTGTGTAAATGTGTTCCTAAGCAAGGCACTGCTGCTGCCAGTCCATGTGCACAGCTAATGAAAAAGATTACTCAAGTAATCCCGATGCAAATGAATGAAGCGTCTCTCTTTTTCTCTCCTCCCTCCTTTTCTCCAGAGTACCCAGTGCAGGCAGAGGAGGGAGGCCAGGCAGTGCTGAACTGTTTCCTCCCGTGGCATCGCCTTCTGTTGGGAAGAACAGAGTACCACTACTCCTGGGCCCCCGGAGTGCCAGGAACTAAAAAGGTCCCTCTGCCATCACTGGATGTTTCTCAAACGTGTACACACAGATGCATAAGTAGTAGCTCAGCACTTTAAAACCACTCTGCATACTTCCTGATTTCCATGTATGACATTCTGTTCCTTATTTAGCTGCATGAATATGCAACTTTGCTGTCCTACACCCACTAACTTACAGCTCTCACTTCCTAATTTGTGTGTGCAGCTGAACGCCAGTGACTTCAAAGCCTTGGTGGTGACAGACGACTCATCTGTGGTCTTAAATCAGCTGGATGAGGATGAGCAGGGAACATATCACTGCTCTCTGCAGGGCCGTGATGGAACCGTCTTCTACCGAGTCACTTTCCTACTCACTGGTAGAGTACAGCCCTCAGATAGAAGAAAAGATAGATGGAAGAACCGTCAGATAATTTAACTCTGAAAAGGCAAACAGTGACATCACATTGAGTTAATTCAGCACATATTAACAGCTGCCAAACAAGAGAACAAACACTCCAATAAACATTTGTGAACTCTAAATAATTGGCAGTAAATGACACACTTGAAGATCTGTAAAACAGTGAGCTGCTTACATGAGATGAATGTCTCACTCTTGGTGTTCTAGTTCAAGTGCTCCTTAAATTTTAGTCTTCAGGCCCATGGAGATGTTAAAGGTTCTCTATGCAACGCTCGGAGTGTTAATATAGCAGCAATTTGGTTTGTTAAGTGGACGACAGCAGCATGGAAGCATAGCGCCCTCCCTTCAGTTTCGTCAGCACTGTTGCCGTTGTTTACTGTGTGCTGCTCACCGCCAGCTTAAGCGGGCCTTGTACTTCTGAGTTAAATTGACTCCATACCCACGGCATAAGCTGTCGTGCACTTCACCAAAAATGTAACTACACGTCACAGTGATGCAGACCACCTCTTCATTTTCGGAAACTGAAAACCATTTTCCCCAGTTGGAACCATAGGTGGAAGCATATTAAGACTGTGTGTAATTAATCCTGGCTTCATATGAATAAAGGAAATTCCACTAGCCACTGAGCTAATTTTTGCAAAGGGAAATGCCAACGGCTTATGCTAATAAAGTTAGCATGTTGTATTTGTGGGGAAAACGTATCTAGCAAAAGATAGTTGTTTAGTCTGTGAAACTTGTCACAATTGTTACAATGGAGACCAATTTTGTACGTGTGTCTAATACTGTCGCTTTTTTTTTGTGTGTTTTAGCCTAGTTCAGACCAATGATTCGTGATGAGACAAAACCATTTTTCTTTGCAGAGAAAAGTTGTAGCGTTGCGAATTAGCCGGTCTGAGATCGACTCTAACCGGCTGATGGTGTCATGTGCAACTCAGCTATTCAAATCACCAGTGGCCGGTTTTGCTACGTAAAGCATGTCACCTGTTTCTACAGCCAATCTGCTTGCAGTGAAGTCTGCTGGTCAAGTCAAAATGACCACAGACGGCATGTTCGCTTGCTGTGGCAGGTGCTCCATTCCCGCTGAGCCCTTTGTTTCTGTTCTCATGGTGTGTCGGTGTCAGACGGTGGGTAGCTGCTGCTGCTCACTGATCAACACAGACACATGACTGCACAAGTATATGCTCACAACAACACAGCAACTTGCGAAGGCCACGGCAAGCTCGCCGTAGAACATCTATAAATCAGTTTTTATGTTGAGAACCGTCTCCAGACAACTCATATGCTCTGAATTACGCATAGAGCCCCTTTAAAGGATATTCAGGAGGCCACGTCCAAAATTAGAAACACAGCAGTTAATTTCAAAGAAATTAATTCACGACATGTTCAAAAGGTAAACTAAAGGCTTATAATTAGTATATGCGTATGTGTGTGTGTCTGAGTTTGTGGTTTGTGTCTGTGGGCTGGACGCTGGGTGTGTCCATTTTTTTATGTGGGTTGGTGTTTTTTCTCTTTTTTTGTTGCTGTGTTGACTTTCTTGTATTTTATAGAGCGCATACTTCCATACATGTCTCTTATTGCTGTATGGATTTTAATAAAGAGCACATTTGGTTTCACATCAGGTGAAATGAACTGTATTCTGCAAATTGAAAACTACTTCTAAAAAGTGGTTTCATTCTCCACATCAGTTCTGTACCTAAAGCTTTCAGTTCCAGCAATAACCTGCTAAATGAACAAGATAAATCCTCCCTGAAAGAAAGCCTTTTGTAGATGGAGTCCATGGCCGACTGTGTGTTAGTGTGGAGGATGGTGACCTGTGAAAACCCCTCGTCATTGTCAAAATGTCAGAAAGTCTTGCCTCCATATTTCCCGTCTACAAATCTATAAGCTCAACTGTTATTTTCACCCTCTATCTTCACAGTCGCCTCTTTGTCCGACCAAACTCACCGACCTGTCGTCACTCTGCCCTTCCTGCCTCACGGAGACAACTACTCACCTTTTCAACCTACTGCGGGCCTGCTGGTGCCAGTCATCGCCATGGTTACCGCTCTGAGCCTGGCAGCGAGCGTAGGCCTCGCAGTCGTCCTGGGGTGAGAGACACTAAGTGGGCGGAGGGGAGAGAGCGAGGAGTGGAGGTTAGCAGGAAGGGGTGGATGTGAAAGAGGTGACACGGAGCAGTGAGCGAGCATGACAAACTAAATGATGCAAGACGAAGGAAGTGGTGGCGTGGTCATGTAGTTTGAGGAGTGAATCATGATTCATGAGGCTTAGGTGTATGTCACACGAAGCTACAATAGCTTTATAAATAAGTTAATTGTTTACAGTTGGGGCGATTATGTCACTAAGCTGTTTTCTCTGAGAGTATCATCACTTTTTCCAGGAAGTGATGTCACCTGAAAATTCACAGGTGTTAGCTGAGATTATAACACGCAGATGGGCAGGTTTTTCCATTATTTGTTGTTGTTTTTTTGATTAAGTTAGGACTTTAAATTAACGTAACTGTGTTTGTGATCTTTGTAGACTGATGATGAGTCAGAGGAGAGCTGCAGAGGTGCCAAGGAGAAGGAGGAAGGAGGGAAAAAATAAACAAAACCCAGTGTGATGAAGATTTTTTACACAGTCAATACACACCTTGATGACAGGGAGGTTTTACTCACTTCAGCTGTGACATTTCTCTCAGTGGCTGAATAAATTTCCCAGCACACAATGCCAAGTCACGTCTAAAAATGACATGGAAGTGAGAAAATATTTGTAAATGAGGCTTCATAAAGCATAAAGGGTGTGAAGATGTTTTTGATAAACATGTTTTAAACAATAGAACAAATCCAAAACACTGACATTGTGAATCATGGTGAATCAAACCAGATCTTGCTCATAAAACAGAGCTCAGTGTTGTAATAAAACCAGAGCATACAACACACACACACACTTAAACACACCCACCAAAAGTCCCCCAGAAACCGCTCAACTTTCCGTAACATTAAGCACCAGCTCGCCAGAACACATTGGTGATCTGACCCCAGCAGGGTCACGTTTCCCCTCAGTGGAGTGATGGCGTTGTCACGTGGGCGTTTATGAGAGGAGTCGGGGATGAGGTAAATCTCCTGGATTACAGTGTTTTTTTGTTTTTTCCAGAGATTAATAATCCCAGCCATCCAATTAATCCTGGATAATCCCCCTGTGGGAGGAAGGGGCAAACGGGAAAGGGTGAAAGCTAGCAGCAGATGTTTTCATCAGGGTTTCTTTTCATGTTTATTTACCTATATATTCATTCAGAGAGTGAACAAGGGCTTTTTTGTGTTACTAATAATGTTCTTCTCATTCTGAAGTCACCACATCTTGCGACACCATTGCCAGACTTTTTAATTCTCTGTCTCCGTCTGCCCCCAGTGCGCTCTCTGTACATTTTGATGACGCAAGCTGATTCAAAAAATAGTCACCTCTGCTATTTACACAAGTTCTGTTATGATCACCACCACCTCCTCGTCATCAACTCTGCACGTTGGTCACATGCCGTATTTCCGCTCACTGTTTTTTATCTGTCATGACCTTGTGCTTTTGTCAGCACCTCGCTGGTTGTTGATGTAAATGTCAAACTTCCTGTGTCGGAGCAATAAACGTCATCATTGTTATCAACAAGAGTTAATTCACACACATCTCTCAGCATTGTGTCAGGCTCTGATGAGCTTACATACTGTAGGAAAGATGATCTGAACCAAATGAAAATGAAAGCAAGTGACTGACAGATGTATGAGTCAGAGCAACGAGGAATTAAATACCTAAGTCACCTATGAGATCAGTAATCACTGCTCAGGTTTTTCAGGGAAATTTCTAACAAACTTTTTGAATCAGAGATAGTCAGTGCGGGTCATGACAAATGTAACAGGGCTTGTGATGATACAGTGTGAGGGTGTGTGTGTGTGGATGTTGAGGCCTGCATGGATGGTGACAGGATGTATGTGCGGTGCAGTTTCCTGTCTGGCTGCTGAGGTGGGGGCGAATGTTGAAAAAAGAAACCGTTCTTTAAGACTCCCTCACACAGAGACAGTCACGTCACGATCTTCCAACCCGACAGACCTCGTCTCTTCACTGCGGGTTCATATGAGTGTGTTCAAGCCTAAAGTGCAGGTTGAGGCTACAGTAAATGCACGCTCAGCAGCTCCACTGACAGCCGTGATGAACTGTGTGCTCAAGTGTGTGTGTGTGTGTGTATGTGTGTGTGTGTGTGTGTGTGTGTGGATTGAAATCGCAGCCTCAGCAGGGGGAGAGCATGACAAAGTGGGAGTGCTGCTGAGGGGCCAGCAGGCAGCGGCGGGGGAGGAAAAGAAGGGAAGTGGGAACATGAGGAAAGTGGAGTCAGAGGTTTGAGTGGGAGACGTATGTGGGAAGGCAGAGTGCTTTGAATGTGGGTTATGAGGAAATGAAGACAAAGACGTCAGATTACACTTTGATATAAACTATCCCACATTGCACATAAAGTATGTTTCTCTGAGGGTTACAGAACAATGAGTGTCCTCTATCTGGGGGTGGAGAGACGTCTGAAATATCCTACTCAATTAAAATTACTGGAATTAAATATTACTCATGTAGAACTGAGACAAAACGCACAGAACAAGTCTTACAACAGAGTTAAAGATCATTAAAACCCCTTTATGTTTATTAACACTCTAAAAGCTATTCTGCTTCATCAGAAATGTGTTTGATCACATTTGGATCCAAATATTGCTCAATCTCGACTGGAGCACAGGTTTACGTAACATCATCCTTTCCAATCTGAGTCCTCCCCCTACTGTAAACCAGTTAGATGATCACACAGATACAGAAATGACCCATGTAAAATAATCAGAATTGCTCCAACTTCAATAGAAAATGTGGGGTTCATATAGGACCCTAACAGTCAATGGGTGTCTTGGGTGATCCGATCACAAGCAGACAGCACTAAGGGTGCTTTCAGACCTAGAGTTATCTTGCTTTGGTCCGAATCAGGGACTAATTTTGTTGTGTATAATTGCCTAGAGTTGGTTCGTGTTCTCACAGCAGCATTTACAAGTGGACCTGAGCGAGAAAGCTGCTCTTGATTGGTCAGAATTTCCATTCGGGAAAACAATGTTTTGATGCATTGGATGTGCTGAGTGTGCATATTAAGGCAGTACAGGAGGAGGTGCACATTAATAATCCTCCAGGACTGTAACATGCTCATGTTTAACCCAATGTGTCATGTGACTACAGTTGGTTCGGATCAAGGTCGGAACACGTTCTCACCACAAACAAACCACACCAGATTTTGTTTGTAACCGGACCAAGACCACCTCTTCAAGAAGGTCTCAGTCTGGTTGTTTTGGTGCGCACCCGAGTGCGATTGCTGTGTTCACACCTGCACAAACAAACTGCACTTACCGAACTGAACTCGAGTTCGATTGAACTGAGCCAAACAGGGCAGGTGTGAAAGCACCCTAAATGATCCAATCGCTGAAATCACTTACGGAGGTGTTCTGAGACACATTTGACCTCAGTCTTTTTGTCAGTGCATCCTGATGCATCCCCAACAAGGATTATGTCATCAATGCAGGACATTATTGTTGTTATGGTGACAGTGACAATGCTCTGCATCTTGCTCATTTGACGGCAAGTGAGACAAAGTTTTGCATGACCGTCCAACGTTTTGTCCAATTGGAGGAGACGTGTTGGATTCTACTGACAGATACCTCCAGCTGGGCTGACATAACCGCTAACGTTACTAGCAAGCATGCTAGCGAGTGTGGGCGTAATAACTACGCATGGAACTCTTTGACTTTTCTGTGCAAGTGACCTAGACCAGTGAATCCCAACTGGTGCAGCCACAGGGTCCAGATTTCTCCTTAGTTAAGAGTTCAAGGCCCACAGAGGTTAATATACTCAGCGTCATAGTTGCATTTGGCCATGTTGTCAAGCTAGTTTGCTGACTCTTTCAAGCATCTGTCCGATTGTCACTCACTCTACAGCAGGAAACTGCACTTCAAAGTAAAAAGCTCTGTGTAATTTTTACAAACTTAACACGTTTGTACGTCACTTGCGGTCCATTCAGAATGGACTTGTGACCCACTTCTGGACCGTGACCCACCAGTTGGGAACCACTGACCCAGACAGTAACAATATCTGAACACAAGTACACCAGTTGTAGATCCATGATAGACACAGGTGTGAATGGCGATGTGTCTCAGCTGTCCATTTGTGTTCAGATCACTGACAAACACGTTAATACCAGGTGTAAACAAGCCCATGAAAAGAAACGTAAAGGGCCTTTGAGGTCTTCAAGGAGGAGCCAACATCCTAACATAACAACATGCAAACACCCTATCAGCTGTCTCCAATTCATTGCTGTCTTACAGTGAACCTTGAAAAGTGTTATTTTAATATTTAACACTATTAAAGGAAAAAATAATGATCATTTGAGTTTAATAATGAGTGATGACCATATTTTCCTGCTAGAAAGCTCTCTAGCAAATTTCCTTAAGGGAAAAGAGGATCACTGCAAACTTCCATAGGATGCACATCCTGTTTGCTGAGCTGAAGCTTCCCTCTGGCTTTCCTAGTTGAGCACTTGACTTTAACAGCAATCTTCTCAAAGGACACTGTAAGTCTGGTAATGTTCTGCGTTTCTTATTGTCAGTAATCCCATGAAAAGCCCAAGTTTGACACATCTTATTCCTCTGTGCCATAACCTCCATCATGTTTCATTGTTTTCTGGGGCTGCCTCTCCATTAGCCTGTGCTGGTTGGAGCTAAATTAATGGATGGAAAAAATACTGAGGGTTGCATTTGAGGTATTATATTTAGGGAAATTAACATAGGTCTTTCAAGATTTATAGACAAATATATGTTGAGGGTTTTTTTAATCTCTCCTTCAGAAGGCTGAAGACAGTGGCACCTAAAATTTAGGACTGGGTGGATGTAATATGTATGTGACGGAAAAGTTGACTTAACTGATTGAGCACTTATCGCCGAGTAGATCGGACTTTGTATGAGAGAACATGTAAACTGAAGAATCCCTTGGTTCATTGCTACAGGGGAGCACAGGGACAGAGATTTTTCAGGCAGTTTTATCTAATTTTTATTTATTTTAGTATTTTTTGTTGTCTTTTTTTTCCTTTGTTTTCTGTCCTTCCTATTCTTCTCTCTATTCCAAACTCATCAAGAGGTCCACTTGGGTTCCCACTTGGGAAAAAAAGTAGAAGGACGGAAGAGTTTTTAATATAAATATTTCTTTAACTTTTTTAAAGATTGATGTCTTGTTGATCTTTTAATCTGAACTGTTGACAATAACAAAAAATATAGAATATTATTAGCTATGAGTTGAAGTAAAATGTGCTCAGAGTGCAAATGTATGAAAAAATTAATCACTTAATTATGGGACAGTTTTCAGTAAGTTACTTTACACTTCAAAAAGAAGCTTGTGTGTGGCGCAGGCCTAAACCCTCAGAGAATGAACAGGAACTATATCTAAAATTTTAGTAAAACCAGTGCACTCTGCAGCAGTTTCACTGTGATTCAGGTGTTTATATTTTAGTGCAATTGTCATTAATGTCACAGGAAAGAAAGATTCATGTGCTCCAGATTTCCCAGCAGTGCAACATTTTACTTTTCACGAGGATTTAAAAAGCGGCAACAACAAATGTTAAGCACTGAGAGGAAAGTGTTACTGTGTGTATGACCTGCATGAGAACAGAAGCTGCGATGGCCCAGAGGAGCTCAGGTTTAAGCTAACCCAAATAACTCAACTCTGAGGGCTGCTGTTTTGAGGGCAGGGTGAGGGGGCGGGGTTTAGACTCTCTGCATCACGTCATTCAACACAAAAACACGGGATAACCCCAAACAACCACGTGCGCGGTAGGAAAATCAAGCAGACGTCAGTGTCCATATGAGGAGTGACGGGCAGGCCATATATGGTCGTTCCGCCTGTGACGGTGTTCCTTCTGTGGAAAAACAAAGGCGGGGTTGGGCTGGTCACGCCCCTCTGACAGCTGTTATCAATGAACAAGTGAAACTCTCAATCTAAAGCCGATTTTAACAGAGCTGACGGAAAGTACTCTCAAGATACATCTGCAGGAGATCCTCCAAGAGTACTTTACCCACGGCTTTAAATTATTACAGAGAAAAAACACTTTATTTTTTTATTATTTGATATTTTTAGCTGTGAAGAACAAAAAGTTTATTATTTATTATTTTTAAGTTATTGTTAACACACTTTTTCAGCCATGACTTCAAGCTGCGAGCCTCTGGAAATAACTGGCAACGAGCTGGTTCACATACTCAGGACCCCCCGGGACCAGTACACCTCCGCTGGGTGCGCGGTGCTGGACTGCAGACCCTTCCTCGACTTTTCCTTTGCGCACATCCGCGAGTCCCGCAACGTCAACTGGAACTCAATGCTGCGCCGGAGGTCCAAGAGCTCGGTGGTGGCTCTGGAGTGGCTCATCCCGGACAAGGCTCTCCTGGGCCGGCTGCGGCGCGGCGAGTTCTCCCCGCTGGTGGTGGTGGATGAGAGGAGCCGCTCAGTGGCCGAGCTGAAGGCAGAGAGTGTGGCCCAGATGCTGCTCACAGCCCTGCAGAACGAGGTCCAGACACAAATCTGCTTTCTACAAGGTAATAGGACTTTTTAAATTTATTTTTACGCACCAAAATGTATCATTTGGACTCTACTATTTTATTTCTTTTTTTTTTAAAGAAAAATATGAATATATTTTTAAGTACAAGAGTGTAATTGTCAGTGTAAAGGATAAAGGATGAAATTTTATATATTTAAAGGCTTATATTTTATGTTTGCCACATAATTATTATTGTTTCATGCATAACACATTTTTTAAGGAGGTCTTTGGTGAAAGCTTGGGGCTTAGCTAATACTGCGTGACCTCCATTTAGGTGGATTTGAGGGATTTTCGGAGGCCTATCCAGAGCTCTGTTACAGCTCAGCCAGCAATCACCTCCCTACAGTGGAACCAGAGCCAACAGTGACGGGTCGGAGGACACCAGCATATGATCAGGTAAGAGAATTCATCTCTATGTGAGGTTAAACACAATACATAATACAATACAACTCTTTAAGTAATGGAAATATTTCTGAATTTCCAATCTGTATGGTGATGATTCTTGTTTTTAAACATAGATTCTGTCTTTATTTTTTAACAGGATGGTCCAGTGGAGCTGCTGCCCTTCCTGTTTTTGGGCAGTGCCATCCACTCGTCCCGCAGAGAGACCCTCGCAGCAGCAGGCATCACAGCTGTGCTCAATGTTTCCTCCACGTGCCCTAACTTCTACGAGGGGGAGTTTCAGTACCTGAGGCTCACCGTGGAGGACAGCCTCGCTGCTGACATCAGGGCCTGCTTCTCCACGGCCATCGCCTTCATTGGTGAGTTCCTCCCCTAGACGTCCAGATATCAACCTGTGTGTAGCGTGACCTGAAAATAAAAGTAGACCCACCAAACACACAGTTAATTAGTCTTGTCTTAGTTAAGTGAGTCATCTTTTTACACTCTTGATGAAACATAAATTATCCAAAGCATTTCTCTAAGCAGCTTGTACAGCTATAATCCACTCTGTAGTCCAGATTTATGGGCCAACAGTGTAACCGTCCGATTACAAAACAACTGGATTAAACTGCACAAGTTGTAGAAGAGAATTTTTTTTCTTTTTGCCTGTTTTGACCTCTTACGTTGCAAACTTCAGTTCAGGAGATGACAGATTAGGATTTGTAAGACCTAACTTCACTAGTGGTGGATTAGTTTTAATTTCTGGGTCGATTTTTTTCCTTCAGTCCCTCAGTTTAAAGCTTTCTATGTATTTCTGCTAGTACAACATTTTCACTGATGTTAAAGAAACTGATGTGAAGTGGAACACAATATGCTAATCTCTCTTCCTCTTTCCGCCTTGTCTTTTTTCCGCTCTCCGCCTACAGACTCAGTGAAGCAGAGTGGTGGTCGGGTGCTGGTGCACTGCCAGGCAGGTATTTCTCGCTCTGCCACCATCTGTCTGGCCTACCTCATGCACACGCAGCGCGTCAGGCTGGATGAAGCCTTTGACTTTGTGAAGCAGCGACGTCAGGTCATTTCTCCAAACCTGGCCTTCATGGGTCAGCTGCTGCAGTTTGAGACAGATGTGCTCTGTCAGGGATGAAAGCACAGACGAATGAGGAGGAAGGAAACACATATGACTGTTCTTTATAATCAATTCTCCTGCCTGGTGTAGGTGTTGACTCAGAGCATTATCAGGACTCATTTGTACAAATGCTTGTACGATTGAGGCGACGTTGTACATTCAGCGAAAAGCTACTGGTGCTGCTGGTGAATCTGGAGAAACTGACAAACAGCAGCTGGCGATATAAACCTGTTATGAACAATTGTGTTTCTCAGCCAGCAAGTCGGAGCAGCTATGAGGTAATTTCCCTGACGTTTTATACTCGAGGGAAATGGTGCCTGCTTGTCTGGTTTTGCATGTTACTGTGTTTGAATTATGTGCCTGGTGTTTTACAAGGGCTGTCTTATTTTCATACTGAAAATCATTCCTTCACATTTACGACCACTGTGACATGACGTCTTTTTATGAGACAACACTGTGTTAACTACTTAAGGCAATACTGGATGAATTACTGGTCTAATTTATGAAACAATGTACCAACTACTGTTGGTGTCTTATCATGCTGTATCCTGAGATAGATTTCACTTTGTCAAAGCTGGAAGAAACTGTTTTTATGTGTGTATAGAGTTTTTATTTTTATTTATTACCTGTTCTGACAGTGTTAGCATTATTACTGTCTGTTTATGCACTTTATACCTTCAAGGTTTGGCTGATTCCTGCTGTTTTTTCCACTAAAATAAAAACATGCTGGAGAACACTGAGTCTGGTTCACTCCTTATTTTATACAAACTGTAACACACATATCCAAAAAGATACAGTCACTATATGGTCCACATTACACATGCATATGTTCACACTGACCTTGCTACACTCTTGCTCAACCACGGGGTATTAAAATTGTGCATTGCGGAGTGTTTTGGAGGATTATCCACAGAGAATGGGTTTTACAGTCTGAAGTCCTTTTTGACCTCAACAACCACTGACATAAATTTCACATCCACTTATTCAAGTTTTGAGAACAACTGTGGATGATGTGAGCACACTTGAAAGAGAGCAGGACGCCTTTAAGGAAGTTTGGAAAGTCAACTGAAGAACTGTTTCCTCATACGCATACTACTAATACATTTTTTACAAACTGCATGTGGCTTTAGTTTCCTCATTTTGCAAAATCCCAGCTGAGCTATTATCATATCCACAAACATGTCAACATGTCTGTTAGAAGAATATGAGGTCATATGAGGCGCAGTTTAAACAAAAAGCAGTGAACTTAGACCAAACAGGCAGAGGCGACAAAGAGCTACCGCTGATGGTGCATTAAAGACCAGCTGCCACCACTACCTCATCCCCTAATGCTAACTGTGCCACCCACGCCCTTTTGAAAAAGCTAAAACAATTCACTTCCTCTCATTTGAAAGTATCCATTACCCAAAATGTACGCAAACGTAACTGCTGCCTCTTGACTTCTTCCTCCCATCAGCCATAGGTTTCCAGACACAGAAGAGAAATGCCCCTCGGAGTTTTCAGGTTTTGGTCGAGACTTGAGCTGAAACCCAGAAAAATAACATTTGTTTTGGTTTGTGTTCATTTGGACTCACAGTCACATTCAGTTTAGGTCATTTAGAGTATCAGACCCTCATCTGTTTAGGCCAAAATGTGCTGCACATATATATATCCCTGCTCAGTTAGATAAAGACTTATTGTAGGGCCTGAGATTCAATTTATATGATTGAAAACGTCCACACTTTAATCCATCCAACTTTCATCTATAGGTTTCATTAAGAGAGAGCACTGATTACCTAACATTTAAACATAGAGATGGCTCAAAGTCAACCAAACTTGCAATTACTGTTTCTCTCACTGTCTCACATGCTCATTGTTTTTACATATCTGCTACTATTCTAATGTATTTTAGTGTATTATATCCCACTGTGTCATACTGCAGTGCTGCTGAAGTATTGTATTATTAAAATTAGGCCACATTAGCTGACTCAGGCACTTTTACATTTACATTTCACACCAGTTCATTAATGTGACAGCCACAGTTACCAACTATATAGTAAGCCTATGAAATGCACAACATTGTTAAGATTAAACCAGTGGTTTTTTGTACCATTTTTGGCTTTATTTAAAAAAGAAAAAGTAAGAAAAAGCAGTGGTTATTTGGGGCTCCTTGTTGCATTCATTCAGATGTCTTTGAGTTATCAGCATTTCCACATAAGAGCAATTTCTCCTCTAAATTTGACTCCCTTCTCCTGGAGTTACCATAAAGTTAGAATATATCTCCATACCTCGATTACGTGGTAAGTTATTTAGATTTCTTTAACAGAATCAGAAGTGTTTTAGCAGGATTAAGTGCTGCTGTAAAACAAGTACCAACATAACACATAACTGATGTGTTATTCAAAGCCTAAATTCCATACAAATAATATTCATACTGGTTCAAATAAATAATTTGATTGTTGAGCGGCAGTTTTGTGTAAAGGGAATCAAAGGCCTGTCCCAAATATAGCCCTGTTGAGTTCAGTGATTTAAGCAGATTATAGCCAGGGCTACTAATTGAAGTTTTACGGTAACTTCTTTTACAAAAGGTCAAAAGCCAAAAATGTTTGGAACAGCTGCCTTTGTCCGTCACTCTAACTCTAAACAGTGTCTTTTTGGGGCTCCTTGTCGCATTCACATCACAAATGGTTCATTGAAATCACAGTTAGAAGCCCAAAGAGGTAAAATTATCCCAATATTTCACAAAAGAAGATCCGAAGATTGGAGAAAATTTAGAAAAACTAATAAGAATATGTGTAGCCAGAATTATCTTGTGACCCTTTGAAGGAGGTTCAAACCCTAAGATGGAACCTATCAGGAAGTACTGGTAAATAACGAAGGAGGACTCAAAAGCACGACTCACAGACGCACTGAAATGTCAAAGTATATCAGAGGTCGGTACACAGGAGTCAGTCCAAAAATCAAAGTAAAGGTTTCCATAAATACAGAAGATAGGTCAAGTACCACTAAAAACACTCAAGAAAAACTGCTGGAACGTTCACTAGAAACAGTGAGGATGAACTAAATACACAATCGGAGGCAGCGTAACGAGGGACAGGTGAAACTAACCAGGGTGATGTAGGTTACCACACAGACAGAAAAATACACAAGGGCAGGTAGTGAGAGAGACAAAGGAGGATCAAAGTAAAACAGGCACTGGTAAATGACTAAACTGAAAACAAGAACAGATAGCTTTAACATCTGGAGCAGGATGTAACGGGAACTACGAGACTTAACAAGACATAACAACCTAAATGTACAAAATGAAGTAATAGTTAGCTTCAACTAGTTATCTAATGATGTAATATATAACAACATGTGAGTACTTTTGCTTTTAAAAGTTCAAGTACATTCTGCTGATAATACCCCCAACACTTTTACAGTCATAGGTGGATTATGAGACAATGGACCCCTGAGCACAGTATTTGTTAGTTATGTGTCTCTTTATAGTTCCTTAGCATGCCTCTGTTGGCATTATGCGTCTCTTTAAAGGTCAATATGTGTCTCTCTCAGGTATATCTGTGTCTTTTTGGTTGTTTTGTGTCTCTTTGTAGTTCCTTAGCATGTCTCTGTTGTCGTTATATGTCTCTTTACAGTTCAGTTTTTGTGGTATATTTGTTTATATTTGTGTCATTTTGGTCGTTGTGTGTCTCTTTGTAGTTTATTTACATTTCTTTGTTGTTCTGTGTCTCTTTAAAAGTCAGTTTGTGCCTCTTTCAGGCATATTTGTGTCTTTTTGGTTGTTTTGTGTCTCTTCGTGGTTGTTTTGTGTCTCTTTGTAGTTCCTTAGCATGTCTCTGTTGTCGTTATATGTCTCTTTAAAGATGAATTTCTATCTCCATGAGGTATGTATCTTTTTTGGTTGATTTGCATCTCTTTGTAGTTGTTTTGTGTCTCTTTGTAGTTCCTTTGCACCTCATTGTGGTCATTTGTGGTCACTCTCTTCCTGGTATATTTATTTTAACTGTGACATTTTGCAGGTGAGCACTCAGGGTCACCTGACACTTTGGGCCCATGGGTCTGTGCCCAGTAGGCCCATTCAGAAACCCATCCATGTTTACATTAAGTAGGATGTTGAGAGAAATACAGGATTTTTTATTTAGAATCGTGTATGTTTACATTGTTGTACTGGTGTGTTTATCAGATTAAAAGGAGCACTTCTTCCACCACTGCGAATAAAGAAAAATCAGCCAGAGTACCCCCTGTGATGTCACCAAAGCAAAGCGTCAACAAGCACTGGATATTAGTTTGTGGTGAGACAGTGCTCTCTAGTGACAGCTTTTGAAATTACCAGAAATTAAGATGGCTCAACAATATCCAGCAGATGACGCCAGTGGACTGATTATTAACTGTGGCAGCGTTTTTATTATGGACCCTTATGTATACACACACATACACACACACCAAACACACACACACACACACACACACGTCCTATCTGTGCTGCTTCTGAATAAATGGCTGTCCCTTTACACATTTAAATGACTTGTGGTGTCATCTCACTAGGTCATTTATTTATCACTGGAAGCAGGCTGTTCCACCTCCCTTTCAGTTGAATGTCTCGTTGTATTCACTTCCTTCTCAGTCAGTCAGGCTACTTAATGAAAACAGACTCAAACTGTTACTCACACTCTGCATCCACATTAAACTAGTGTCAGGATCAATCATATTGCATTAGGCTGTGGCAGTACCTCCTCATGGTGTGTGTGAATGCGCGTGTGCATGTGCACTGTATGTAGGAAAAAAAGGAGCGTGGGAGATTAGGGATTTGCACAGTGATCACACTTAGAGTATTTGCTATTCACAGCTGAAGACTGTGTCTCTCAAACAAGAAATCCCAGTCTGAGAAACTGCTAACAGATAATATGAGCAATATGTGTGATATTGTTAACTGGGGAATTACCATGTGGCAGTATTACACACACACACACACACACACACACACACACACATGCACTGGCCTGCATGCACACAGACAGTTGTCATCATTACAAATGTGGTAAGGAAAATTACTGTGTGACCATCTGGGAGAGCTCCCTGTAATTGTTTGCAGGTTACACACACACACACACACTCACACATTTAATACTGTACCTCTGACGACCCTCACTGGTGTAATGCATTCCAATGAGTTCAGTGTAGGGGGTCGTGAGAAGATGAGCAGATAGGAAATAAGATGAAAATATTATTTGTTACATCTATTTTTCAGTATTTATTTTACAGTCTTTTTACAATTGTACTTCAGTCAGGAACACTTCAGTCAAAGACAACGTTATTTCCATTTGCAGTATTATATTTTGTGGTATGGCTCTGTTCTGGGGCCACTCTGTCTTTCCTCTGGCCTACACAGAAAACCTCTTTCACTTGCCTACGTGGAAAGCATAAGGCGGTGACAGCACACCTCTCTGCCCTTCCACACACTTACATGGGAAAGCCTTAAGGCAGGGAGAGCAAACCTTCCTGCCCTTCCATGCGCCTACAATGGAAAGCCTAAGGCAGGGAGAGAAACAGCCAAGACCCCACAGTAACAGAACAGAGCAGCATCAATGACGAACAGAGATGACATTGATAAGTCAGACACAGCATGAAAAGGAGGAGCTGGGGTGGAGGCAGCTTGCAAAGCAGCTTGCAGAGGAAGCAGCAACAGTAGGCAGGCCAGAGCAGTTTCAATATGGCGCCCTGAATGAGATTCACCAATTGGTTGCATAGAAGGGAATCATGT